GTAGGATAGTATCTGTTAGATAGTGGTTCTAAACTTCTTTTTTTCTTTCGATTACGCTGTACAGATATTGTATTTAGCAATGTGTCAATGAACTACATGCTGAAAGATTTAAACCCGCAACAAGTTATAGCAATTGATTACTGTCTGAGATCATTGATTGAAAAAAGATTATTATTTAATTCTGATCAAATTATGTACGCGATTTCCCTAATAAACTTTCTTCACTGAGATTTCTTGCGTTTTTATTGATATAGTATCCAATGGCAAAACACTTCATATTAATTTGATTATCAAATAGCAATAACTTTTTGTCAATAAAGTACATCAACAGAATACAAGAATACACAACATTAGACGGTACTTTCATGACTCAATGTATATTGGAGTAACATGATGCAAGAATGTCGTTTTATAAGATATTTAATGTTCTTAATTGCATTCTCACAACAATGTAGTATTAAAAGAAAATCAGAGATTATGTTTGAATCGGAACCGTCTTGACCTAAATATTCGATTGACTGTGCAGATCAGTCAGGCTGTTCACACCTAGGCAATCGACCATGGCGCATTCGATGGACGTATGCATGATGTCTCCAAAGGATTTCTAAAAGATCTTCATGGCAACTTCAGAAAACCTTTTCATAAGTATCGAGATTCAAAGCCAAAACAAAAGACTTTAATGAGAAATTAACTATGGCGCGTCAAACAGACATACATTCTAACTTGTCCTAATGACATCAGAGACCTTTTAGAGGATCACCAGAAAACTTTATAAATCTCCCTCCATTAATACTGATATTTAAAGTTCAAAAAACTTTCACAGGTAATCGATTATTGAATATTTACTAACGAATGAGCTGGCCCAATCAAAAAATAAATAAACGCTTTTCTTTCTTGCTATTAAATACTCATATATTAACGTATTAGAATAATTTCTACTTAAAATCGGAAGTCCTTACAGGTAAAACGTATGGAAAACGAAAAACAGGCACGAAGCAGTGTAAAATGAAATTTCGACCAATAAATACAGCGCCGTTCGTTTCGAACGTTCATGATATATCTACCCTTATTGGCTCCAAATCTATCATTGGTTCGTCCCTAATATCAGCGTAACGTACTCTAGGGTAAGGCTCCATTTGAGCTGCTGATGAGGTCGTAACGGTTGGTTGAGATGTGGTGGTGATCGCAACGATGATAATACTTTCTTTAAAAACTCACATTAATAGATAAATGCGCCGTTTTTTAAACTTTCAAAACAACTATGTGAGAATTTTTACACAAAATCAGGGTTTTCAAGCCACTGAAATGAATTGCAACTTCTAAAAGAACAAAAACAATTCAGTAAGTAATACGAAAGATAAAGTACACAAAGAAGAAAAGAGACAGAAACTGACTTTTAGTTTGTTTATTTTAATTAATAAATGTTCAACGATAAATTACAACTGCGAAAGAAACAAAAAAGAACAAAATACATCAAGACAATAAAAAAGAGGTGATAAAATAAAATAAAAATAAATATGAATAGGCACAACGTATTAATAAACATAAAAATAAATACAACAAACGAGGATAAACGGCCACCACAAAAAGGTTGCAAGTCTTCAGATATTCCCTAAAGAGTTGTCATTGTTTCGAGAGCCCGTGTAGTCGAATGTAACGACGACACGCTTGCTCCATCGTCCTAAAATCTGCTGAAATTGACAGGTACTCTTGCTTTTGCTGCCGAAGTGACATCACCAGTACGTAAAGACTGTCATGAGTACTATCTCGCAGTACAACCTAAAGATATTAACAGTGTCCTGAGTTTCTGCCCCATGACTACTCGTGTTAAGACTTCTGCATGAAGCATCAAGAAAAGTGCATGCTGTGAGGAATTTGATTTTTAAGCGATTCAACGATTTCTTTCCAAAGACTAATGCTGATGTGACTTTCATCGTTCAAATACCCGACTGCACTCCTGTATAATTGTCCATTTTTGTTATAAATATTCCCGATAGTCTGGACGGTGCCTGTATTCACACTGAATTGATTGGCATCTATCTATTGATCACCCGCATACAAGAGATACGCCGAGAAATCTATTACGATATGTTAATTTGCGATTCGACCTAAGAAATGTAGGCGAACATGAATAAATCATGAAAGAGAGGAAATTATGATTAATCTCGTCGTATATAAAGCTAAACCATTTATGTCTGCTCCGAAAGTGCTGACCTGTACACAGTGTTATGAATGTGATCAGTATAAGACAGTGTGCAAAAAGAAAAGACGATATCTGTGCTCGGAAATAACTAAGATGGACGATAAGCACAATTGTTGTAATAAATCACATTGTTTTCAATGTAACGAAAAGCACAAGCATGATGATCAGAGATGTTCAGCCATCCAGGAATATCGAAAGAAACTAATGTCAACACTCATTCAGCAAAATCTAATTGATGATTCAATGCACCATGTGCTAAAAAGTACCGCAACAGATTAAATACTACTCAACAAAGCTAAATGAAAACAAAACAACAGCGATCGCGGCTCTATAGATGAAGCGAGAAGAACACCCGTCTTGTCCGTTAACCCTATGAGTCCCGGCGACGTATAAATACGTCTAGTTGTAATTATTCCATGACCATAATAGCTGGAATTAATTTGAAAAAAGATTTGAACAGCCGAAAGAATTTCAGATCTCTAGAAATACATAACCTCCCCCATAATAGAAGCCTCCGGGGCTTCTAAACTGTCCAAGCGTTCAAAATTTTTAGGGGGGGCTTATATTATAAAGGGGCTACTATTACGACTTTCGTACAAAAATTTTCAGAAAAAAAAGGAGACTTTGAATTTCGATGCTCTTGCCTTTCTAATCACGGTAATCTCAATTAATCTGAAAAAAATCTTTTTCGAGATAAAAAATGTAAATTTTATTCGTTTCCTTTTTATACACACGGCATCACACAAGAACAATTAAAGTAAAAAAACGCGTGTCGATCAAATATGTCGTTTAAAAAATTTAAATTATTTTTCCGACGTAATAGAAGCCCCTGGGCTTCTAATACACCTTTCACATCGATTGCTCCAGAGGGGGCTTCTAATATGGGGGAGGCTTCTATTATGGGGGGGGGGGGGGGGGTTTAAGTGGGCGGAAAAACCTTGGGGAAGCGGGGGGGGGGGCCACCCCACCGCCCCCCCCCCCCGCGCGCTGTCTCCCGGCGCGCTGCTCCCGTGCCCGGGGGCGTCTCCACATAAAGGTTCCATCAAAACTTCTGAAATCCTGGTCTCTGGAAAACCACAATCTCAGAAAACCAAATCCTGGCTTTTACTCTAGAAATTCTTTGCGAATAAGTTGGTCGCGTAGAGCAAACATTTCTGAAGGAAATGAGACGTGTCCGAGCTCTTTACGACATTTTCTCATGGTGCAACATTCAATTTATGGAAGGCCCTAAGGGCGTATCTTCTTGTTTTCCCATTATTTTTGCTGCTGTGGGGTCTTCATTACACAGGGCTCTGTTTTGCAGGACATTCCCAGTGGTGCTTATATCTCCACGAAAACTCATCGAAAAATTCTGGAAGACATCTCATTCTGAAGAGCACACTTTCTTCTATCCTGCTATGTATAAGAAGAAATTTTGAATATATAGGAAAACAGAGAAAATTTTACGAACCTAAAAAGTTCAGATTTTCTTGGCTTTACGTGAAAAACTTAAAAACTTCATAATTTTTTCAAGGAAGGCCATGGAGAGCTGAAAGTGATCTCATTTTATAGCCCAGACTTTCTTCTACATTAGACAAAAAATAGCAGAGCCCATTCTTTTTTCGGACAGACAGTTAAAGAACGATTTAAATAATTTTATTACTGTCTGTCCAAAAAAAGAATGGGCTCTGCTGTGTTTTGAATAACTTTTGATAAAAAGCAGGTAGCGAGCTCGGATTTTGGACATTTGAAAGAGGAGACTTGGAGGCATGATTCTATACGCAAAAATTTTTTGTTTTTAGAAAAAGATTTGAAAACTGGTGAAAACCAAATTTTACGAAAATTAGGAGTTTCATGCTCTTTTCACATAATATAAAAAATTCACCATTCACTCAGAAACCGAAGAACGAGTTGAAAGCCTCTGGGTATACTTAGCTTTGTCCACTAAACATGATTATATCATCAAAAAATTGAGAAACCATGTTTTGATTTAAGGGTTTTCTCGAAACTTTTGCGGAAAGCCATAGGCTTCTGTAAATTCTTATTTGTAGATCTCTTATAAATCAAATATAAAAGAGTCTAACGATTAATATTCTGTCTATTCATAAACACCTGTCTTAACATGCTTTTACCTGTTGATCATGAAACATGACTTTATACAAATGAAAATCATGTTTAGAACAATTTTCATAAATATACGAGTTCTAATGGTACTCATTATTGCGCATTTTTCAGCCGGTATTAATCTACTAGAGTGCATCTTATAGAAAATTTTATTCTCTACAAGATGTGCTAAAAATTGCTCTGGGACGATGAGATTTGTTGTCATAATAATTGTTCTACGCAAAAAAATACCTACTTTTTTTTCTAATGATACTTTATTTAATCGTTTTCGGGAATGAAAAAATTTACTTAAGACCTGAACAATATCAGGTTTTGTTCACCTTTTGTGCTTGTTGGAATGATATGTAATCTAAGAAAAACAAATGCACGATAATGTTGCTACAATTAAACGAACAAGAAATCCAGAGTGCTTTAATTTTTGAACAAAACTTGTTGGAATTTTTTTAAAAACTTTTTTTCTCAACGAGGAAAAGTATTCAACGGGTAAAAACGTGGATTTATAGGTTTCTAGATGGAGAATCTGAAAATCATATTTAAAAAAACATTTATTTTCGAAGGTTTTATCGATTTTTTCGACGCGCTTACAAATTGTCTCTTCACATTCCCAGAAACTAAAACCATATCGAGATACTTTCAAAATTTGTTAATCGTAGTCAAGGGATCTAGCAAATCAGAATGATGAGTCTTACTTGAGCTAGAAGCATACAACAAAAATACCTATTTGTTCCCTTATTGTTGTTTGTTTGAAACCAACAATATTTTCAGCTGAATGAGTAACATTTATTTGTGTCATCTGCCATTGATTTTGATTAACTTGTATTCGAATGTTTGTAATTTCATAATCTGAATTAGATACTGGATGATGACTAATATCCAAATCGGAACTCTCTAATCGCCGTACAATTTCATAACCATTTGGCGATATATGGTCAACTAATCTAATATAACCTCGACAAATACCATAAATATCTTTTTGTACAAAAATATCGAATCGAACAATTCGAATACCTCAAAAAACGAATTCTGTATTAGTCAGTTTTGTATTTTAACTCATTAGAACATTTCTCTCACTTTTCTGTAATATTTTTAGTTGACACTGCATTGAAATGAGATCTGATAATTTTTTAACGGTTACTGAAAGAAATCGCGATTGCAGAAATAAACTTTTATTAGATAACAAAAGAGTTATTTTCACCTATATGAATGATTTGCAATTGACTTGTTACGAGAAAACATTTTCGAATATAAAGAAACCGAATAGTAAGACAAACCAAGTTTCTATGTCTACCATTATTGTATAAAAATTATAAATTATTCTTATTCGCACAAACTGGCTTACAATATAAAACATCAACATCTGAAATTTCGTTTTTCTCGCCCAAAATACAAATGCTGGAGAAAACGATTTTGATGATTTACCTTTTTCTAATGATAATGCTGCTATAATATTTTAATGTATAATTTTCTTTTATAATACGTTTTTCGCGAAATTTTTCATTCAGAGAATTTAAATATTTATCGACGTCATTGAAAAATAATATTTCTGCATCATTGACAACTTCTACTGAAGTTACCGGTGAAGCCATTCAACAAGAATGATTAAAAGGATGACAAGTGACGTTGAAAAAAAACAAGAGTTAGAAAAGAGAATGTTCCTGCGGTCATGTCTTTCTTTTATAGTTAAATAGAATAGGATAGCACACAAAGCGAGCATACTATATTGATATGAATGATATCAAAAAAAATGCATGATTAGTATTGTGTATAAAAACTTGTATAGAAATATACACAAAAGGTCCCGGTTCTCTCTACCGGTCGCCTTCCTTTTATCTCACCATTCTCCTTACCGTCTTTGACAGTATACAAAATTTTGTATACGGGATTCATTGTGCGTTTTCACCGGTATCTTTTCTCATTTTCTACTACATAAACGACTGAAACGAAAAGAAAGCAATAGCTATTGGCATTGTGAACATTGAACCTTAAGAAATAGTCGCTATACGTATATGTAACGGATGAAGCAAACAAAAAGTATTTCTCCTTTTCTTTTTCAGTATACTGAATATGGTCAGCTTAAGTTAGAAGTCTATATTTTTAGCATAATCAACAAAGCGTTATACTTTGTTTTTAATTTAAACATAACGAGCTGAAAACGTCTCTTTCTTTTGCACTGTCCTATAATTCATTCATAGAACAGATAGTATCTCTTGAGTTTTCCGTCGTGATTTATGAATAAAGCCTATTTCCTCTATTATGTTTGAACAATTTAAGTTATTCAAAACGATAACACGAACTAAGCAAAATTGTTTGTGTATAAAGTAGAAATACGTCAAATATACTTCTATTACGATTAGTGAGTGGTGCCTTGTCTTTCTACATCAGATCATTAAGCGGCATACTTTTTTATTGCACTCACTTTATTCTTTGTCATAAATCCATGTTCCATTGCTCGATTTTAATTCGGCCTAGGCTAACTTGAAATTTTAAATTGGCCTAGGCTAACTTAAAATCGAGCTATGCAGACATCTGAATTTTAATATAGCCTAGGCTATATAAAATTTTAAGTTAGCCTAGGCTGATTTAAAATCTGCCTGAATGTTAATATAGCCTGTAACATATATATCATTTCTTTAGATAAATAAATAGAATAGGCGGCCTACTCACTCCAATTTTGGATTTTTGGTGAATTATGAGCTTTGCATTCCACTATATCTATAGCATAAAATGTCTTCCTTGATTCAGGTTGTGTTTGAAGATATTGCCTATCTCGATGATCCTTGGGATACTAACGGACTAAAACATCCTGTTGTTTTGTAAATGAGTAGAATACAGCCGCACAACTGTTTAGTTTTGTGTGGCTGTAGTCTGCTGATTCAGTAGTTTTAGGTTTCCTGACAACTAATCACGTAAAAATTACTACACGATCACCACTACATCTCAACCAATCGTTACAACCTCATCAGCAGGTCAAATGGAGCTTTACCCTAGAGTACGTTACGTTGATATTGGGGACGAACCAATGATAGATTTGGAGCCAATAGAAGGTTACGCAAATTTACCGCTGATGTCACTGGAAATGGCGGTTGAATCCATATCATCTATGATTGACATATTGCCAAGTGTTCGAATAGCGAAGCAGACGTGTCAACATATTGGCGGTGATTTAACATTAGATGAATCCGCTGCTATTCGTTTATATACAATGAATGGAAGTCTTTTCACACGCCTTAATGACGTGTTACGTTCGAAAGTTAGGGCAGAATTACTGTCTCCTTGGCTTCCTTATTTAAAATTACTTCTAACGGCATTATACAAACTACCAGCAGTTAAAAAGACAGTTTGGCGTGGGACCAGCTTGGATTTAAGTACAAAGTATAAACCAGGTGATACTTGTGCATGGCGAGGTTTCAGTAGCTGTACAGAATCAGTTGCAGTAGCAGATTTTTTCCTTGGTCAGTCAGGTTCTCGAACATTGTTCTGTATCGAATGTCAAAATGGTAGGCTAATCACACAACATTCACAATTTGTAGATGAAAACGAGATTTTGTTACTGCCCGGCTTCTACTTTGAAGTGAGAGATAGCACAGTTAGTGATGGTTACCCTATTATTCACGTTCAAGAACGTACCCCGCCACAAAGACTTTTAGAATCGCCATTTTCGTCTAACGAGTCAGCAAATTGCAAGCTGAATATTGATGGCTACATCTCGATCAAGCAAAATCAGCCCATTTATGGAACTGATGGTGAGCAATGTTGCAATTTTTACGTGATTAGTT